ATAGAATACTAATTTTACCCTCAAAAATTATGGCTAGGTATGGTGGTACATGCCTATAATCCCAGCTACTCTGGAGGCTGAGGGAGGAGGGTTGACGAGTTTGAGGCCCATCTGGAAAACTTAGTGAGATCCCATTGCCAAAAAAGCAAAAACAAAAGTCTGGGGTGGGGGCTGAAGGTGTAGCTCAGTAGAGGAAGGCTTGCTTGCCTAAGATGCTTGCAGCTCTGTTCAATCTTGAATAATTACTGAATAATTCTAGTTGATTATTCCATTATTGAATAACCAGTAATCCTGATTATTATCTATCTGAATAATCTATTATCTATTTTATAATAATCTATTATTTTATTATTTAATAGATAATAATCTATTATTTTATAATAGATAATAATCTATTATCTATTTTATTCACTTCAGGTAACTTATTTATTTAAATATTCATTTACTTCTTGGTAGCCCTGGAGACTGAGCCCAGAGCCTTGAGCATGCTGGACAAACATCCCATCACTGAGCTCTGTCCCCTGCCCTTTTTACTGAGATAATCTCATTAAGTTGCACAGGCTGGTCTCAAACTTGCAATTCCTCTGTCTCAGCTCTGAGTAGCTGGGATTACACAGGCATTAGATTTACCATGGCACTAGATTAAAAAAACTTTGGATTAGACAATAAACAGGCACATCAGAGAGAATTTTAAAAGATGCACTGTAAAACAATATTGTAAAATAATACTTGCTAGAGGCTTACTTCTGGAACTTGAGGAAATGGACTTTTCTCCGTAAGTTGATAAGAAGCAGGGCCCATTTAGAGGTGACGCTTACCTGAAAATAGTCTTGAACAATTACTTACACATGTATTACTGCCACTATGTGCAACAAAAGTTCCAAGTTAAATTTTTATGAAGTTATATTTTCTAAGTTAATATTCAAAAAAAATTCACGATGGTGCATACTAGAGAAATTCCAAAATCATTTTCACTGTGTTTTGCTTTGTTTTATTTTGTAATGGGCCTTGCTGTGCTGTCCAGGCTAGCCCCAAACCCTTGAGTTCAAGCAATCCTGCCTCAGCCTCCCCTGCAGATGGGATTACAGGTGCACACTACCATGCCTGGGATTTACAGGGGTTTTTAAGAAAAAACATAAAACCATTCTGACTACCATCTAGTTTCCTCAAATTCCTTATTTATTTATTTTTTTCTGAGACAGGGTCTCGCTATGTAGTCCAGACTGGCCTTGAACTTGTAGTGATCCTCCTGCCTCAGCCTCCCAGGTGCTGGGGTTACAGGTGTGTGCCACCACGCCCAGCTGAATTCCTTAAATTTTAAGTATATTTTAATTATAAGAACCTGAAGAGGAAGATTAAATTTTATGTTGATCTTAATTCACTTACTATCAATAATGTCTCCCAGTCCCTGAGCACGAAGAAGGTCCTTCAGCCGTGTCACTTCCTCCTTTAACTCACGAACCAGTTTGGCATTGGGGTCCTCATTGATGACAGCATTACATTTAATTTGTTTCGCACGATCTGCATATCTAAATAAAAAGAAATTTATTCATGCCATTTCCCAGGTATTCTTCTTCTCATGAGTAACACACCATCATTTCTAAATGAAACATCCTTAGTATTTACATATTTTATGAGCCTTGTAAATAATATATTTATATGAGCCAGGCATGGTGGCACATGCCTGTAATCCCAGAACTTGGGAAGCTGAGGCAGGGGGATTGCCAAAAGCTCAAGACCTGCCTGGGCTACACCATGAGTTCAAGGCCAGCCTGAACTATACAGCAAGACTCTGTCTCAAAAAAAAGAAAAAGAAAAAAATATATTTATTTATTTATTTATAAAAAGCTTTATCATCTTATAAAGATAAGGGGAAAAGCTCAGATGAACTGACACGATCTGCCCAACGTCACAACAGAAATGAAAACTAGAGAGGTGTCAAACCCAGTTTGTCAGACTGGACAGTATTCTTTTGCTGTATCAAAACTATGGAAGAAGGAAAGAGTTTCAGACTAAAATAACAGAACCTATTCACATATAAAATTATTCTACTAGTGAACATTCTGTTGACTTTTGTTAATGCCACATGTACTCCTGTGTTCTTAAAACTTTAGTGTTTCCATAAAGACAAAGTCTGTGCTCACAAGAGAATACTTTTCATAGAAATGATTATAATAAAATTTATTATTATCTGAAAATCTCACATGTGTGATTTGAACATCTTTCCTATGAAAAAGTTCCTGCCTTTCCCAGCGACTGCAAACCATAAGAAGGTAAATTCCACTAAAGTAACACTCATTTCCCTCACGTTGTCCCTGGTAAGATCACCATCTAAACGGCCACCCACACGCAGAGAAAAGGCTTTGTGACATGACCGTGGGGCTGCCGAGGACGGGACAGAGTACCTCAGGGTGCTCAGAGTCTCATCGTAGTTGATGTCTGCTGGGCTCAGAGCAGCAACCATTGCAGTCCGAGAATTCCCACCTGGGAAGAGGAGTCACAGACACCTCAGACGTCTCATTTGAGAAAGTTTTACTGAATACATTAAATCTTGATAGCACAACTTCAGATGCTATTAGTTCATCAAAGGCCAACAACTTTCTTAAATGTCCCCAGCCAGGCATGGTCACACTCCAATTTTGGCATCAGGACCCACTGGGCCCAGTTCCTGCGCTCCCTCTCTCCCAAACCCACTCCCATCAAACAGCACTGCCCTTGGCAATGGGATGGCGCCGGCTGGGGGCCAGCCCCCTAGTTTACTTTTAGCCTCTTCCCTCTACCACTCTGGGAGAACACCCAGATTTAAGTGCCTCAAACACGCTGAAGTCAGAAGTAAAAATGAACAGTCAAGAAGCACTCAATAAATATATATCACAGACGATTTTTCTCCAACACAGTCACAGAACAACTAGCCATAAAAGATAATCAATCAATAGTCACAAGATGAATTTGTACCAGTAGCCAACATACCTAGATTTTCCCGAAGAAGCCAAGTAAGTACAGAATCCCTGTAAGGGATGAAATCAGTTTTCTTCTTCTTCTTACTCTATTAAAAGAAAGAAACAGCCTTAGCATAAAATGCAAGCCAGCCTAAATTCACAAGTACACCAAGTTATAGTAGTAATCCACCACTGCTGAAATCTCTCACTGCAGTTTCTTCACAGCACACAAAGACCATGCGATTATTCTTTTTGCATTTTATTTTGAAATTTTTATTACACAAAAGCCTAGTGAATAGTATAATGAGCTGCTGTGTGATACCATGCATCTTCAACTATTATCAATATTTTGCCATGTTCATCTTTCAATTATCCTCCAAACACTTTTACACATTCCTGAACCATTCTGCAGTAAGGTATAGATATCCTGTCTAAATATGTCAGAAAATAAGGACATTCTCTCACAGTACAACCACCAAATTTAGGAAATTTAAGAGCAATACAGTACTGTTTCCTAATGTGCTGTTCAAGTCTTCTACAGGTGTCAGTGTTTTAAAGCAAATCTAACATCTCACCTCTAAATTCTATAGGTATGTATCTCTAATAGACAAGAAGTATAAAAAAATCTGAATAAAGTATCATCACACTTAACAAAATTTTTTTTTTTTTTTGGTTTTTCTCCGGTACCGGGAACCGAACTCACGACCTTGCGCTTGCCAGGCAGGCGCTTTTGCCACTGAGCTAAATCCCCAGCCCACACTTAACAAAATTAACAGCAATTCCTCACTATCCTCTAATATCCAGCCCTCAAACAAATTTTATTTTTACAGAGGGGTAAACATGAATCCTGTGCATGCTAGGTTGGCTATGTAAGAACAAGCTGTTTAGTTAATGAATTTACTCGGCCAACCACAAAATTATTGGTAGGTTGGTCATATCTAGTAACTATGACAAAGAAATCCAACTATTATTAGTACAAGGATTAAAAGTGAAAAGGTCTAGGAAAATAATGGAATTTGCTAATTTAGAGATCTGTAAAGACTGCCAGGGTGCATTTTCTGTATCTTTAAAGGGTCCGTAACACTCTCTTCACGACCTTTCTCACTACCACTGGCCAAAACAAAAAGCACCACTTAAAAGCTAGTGCTGAAATGGAAAAGTCATCCTCTCAAGGTAAAAAATCAGTGAATGCAAACGTTCTGCAGACAACCAGTATTAAATATATGCTGGCTGCCTAATGTGTTCTGATGCCTGAGGAAGCTAGTAAAGAGAAAACCAGGGTTCCCTGATTAACAGTGCAATGGGCAGTTTTAGAATCCATTCCTGGTATAATCCACGGTTCAACAAAGGATAGTCTACTTTTTGCAAAAGCACAGATATTCAGAAAAAAAGAGTACCTGGTGGCTAACCTCAGGTTTGTGGCGAAGAAAAGGGTGCAGGCAAGTGACACCATAATTCCATCCCTTATCACAAACACTGAGCCGGGGATGCGGCTGAGTGGCAGAATGTTTACCTGGCATGTTCAAGGCCCAGGGTTTGATCTGCAGCAATGCAAACAAACCCACCCACACGGTTCTATCACATTCCAGCCACAGATGCATATTCCACCAGTGAGAAAGTCATTTCCAGTAGACTTCAGATTGCACAGGCCTCCAAGAAGAACGAAGCCTTTCAGAACAAACTTTCCCTCCACTATATAACGCTTGAGGCTTAAGGCTTTATCCTTTTACAGTTCCTGAACACAGCTAAAACAGCCCACTTGGCCACTATTAGTACTGAAAATGGTATAAAACTTAAACTATATCAGTCACAATAACCACAAACAGTACTATAAACATAAGCAGTGTTTGTCTGCCAAAAATGTTATATTTTCATTTCTGTCAATTGGACAAAATTAAGAAGAAATTCTTAACATGAAGGAACATAAGTAGAAATTCAACCCTTTCCATTTGAAAATATTCCAGAATTCTGGCCATTTCTTTTCTATTTGCTTCCTTATACAATTAATCTCACCTACTCTCATATTTACACATATTTGGAAAATAGGTTCTTCAGTAGTTATATAAAAAGTTCACTTGGATCATTAACCTCTCCAAAAAGAAATACAGGTTGAATATCCCTTACCTGAAATGCTTGGGACCAAAAATATTCAGATTCTTTTTTTATTTTGGAATATTTCCATACACATAATAAGAGGTTTTGGCAATGGAACCCAAGTATAGGTTTCCTATACACCTTATACATACAGCCTAAAAGTAAATTTTTACAGTAATTTCAGCATGCCTGTGTTTTGACTGCTGCAAATCACATGAGGTCATGTGTGGAGTTTTTCGCTTACACTTTCACAGAAGGGCTCAAGAAGTTTCAGATTTTGGAAACACTTCAGCTTTTAGGTTTTTGGGGAAGGGACACTCAACCAATATTAGTAAGTGGGGATGGCAATAAGCCCGTTTCTCTCTCCAGTGGGAAAAATGTCTTACGTTCATCAAAAATTATGTTCATTACGTAAAAACTAAAATTCACAACTGATCTTATGGTAATATGCCAGGTACTAAACTATGTTTTACAAAACTGATTATAAAAATCATTTATAAATTATTGTGGCAACAAACAACATGGACATATACAGAAAATACTCTGCAAACTTTTCGTGTGATCGATAGGTCAACAGCGGAGCAAAGACACAGAACAAGTAAGAAAGATCACAAAGTTTTAACAGTCTTCATGGTCCCGGGACCCAGACTGGATACATGAACACTGTTCACACTGTGTACTGTGAAGTAGCAGGTGGGTTTCTGAGTACAAGGCACCTTCTGTGGTTAAGCGGGGAAAACAAAATTGGCGTGCTGTTTACTAAATTATTACTCTAGAGGTGGGGAAATACACAAACCTAAATATCTGAAAACAGAAGTATAAAATGTTCCAATGCAAATACTGCCTCTCTCTAATTTCCCTCGGGTGATTCACAACAATTAGGTGCTCTAAATATTTTCTGTGCAAAACAGCACTAATCAATCCTAGAATATTTGTACAGAAATATGGAAGAGAAAAATCTATACTATTTGGATAAAGGAAAATACAAGTAAGTTTTCTAGATGCCGTTACAACTTCAACTATTCTACAGCTTTCACTTTATGTGTAATCAAAGAGTAGGAAAAAAGTTTATGTTTGAAATTTCCCATGATCTTTCATGGTGGGAAACAAGTGAAATAATACAAAGAGGTTTAAAAAAAAAAAAAAAATATATATATATATATATACATATATATATATGTGTGTGTGTGTGTATACGTGTGTGTGTGTGTGTGTGTGTGTGTATATAATGTATCAGGCCAGGAATGGTGGTGCACACCTGTAATCCCAACACTCTGGAGGCTGAGGCAGGAGGATCCCTGCAAGTTCAAGGCCAGTTGGGGCTACAAAGTGAGTTCAAGGCCATCCTAAACTGCATGGCAAGGCCCTGTCTCAACCTCACCCCAAAATATATATATTAATAACTTCAAGAAGCCAGGCATGTTTTAGAACAGTACCCCTGAGAAATTTAATATGGTGAACTTTCAAGTGTAAAGAAACAGTCCTATACAACACCAGGGCAAACACTGTAAGATAACATAAAACTCTGACTTTCCGTGTCTTTTTTTTTTGTTTTTCTCCGGTACCAGGAACCGAACTCACGACCTTGCGCTTGCCAGGCAGACGCTTTTGGCGCTGAGCTAAATCCCCAGCCCCACTTTCCGTGTCTTGTTTCTGTATTCTTATTTCCTTCTCCAAGCACATCATGTTCCTAAATTAATGCTGATGAGATGTCTTATGATTTATGATCACGCCCAATAGCCATTCTACATTCCAGGGCCAGAAAACACATGACGGTAATTTTTTGAAGGTTCCATTCCTAATTATGCCTCTCTACACCCCCGGTGGATTTACAGCCCTGAGCTGATTCTATAGCCAGTTTGTCTCTGCCAGTCCCCACCATACCTTGCTGGTGCAGTTATCCTACAGACGAAAGCATTTAGAGGAGAGAACAACGACACAGGGTAAGCCTCCAAATAAAACACAGTACGTTATTTAAATAGAAGTTACAGATTATGACTTCTCAGAGACAGGCACAAAGTATTCAGTTCTTTTTAGTGACTTCAATGAGGTATTCATCTAAATGAGAGCACACAATGACTAATAAATACTTCCTTGGCTTCTAACCCTAACAGTGAAGATGCTTAGCTTTGGTGTTTCTGTTAAGCAACGGGGAAGAATGAAACTACAATGACAGTTTCTTCCATGTGCGGACTGCACGCACTGGAGTCTTGTATGACTATAGCAGTGCTGGAGAATCCCTACATCAGAGCGGACCTTAGGTGGCAGCGCCACGTACCGCTCACATGTGTGTAGTGAGCTGCTGCAAAGAAACCCGTGCACTGTTGGTAGCACAGCAGGTGCTGTACGCTGATGCACAGTAAGAAGAAGGGACCCTGTCACTGCTGTGTGTCTTTACTATGCTATATTTTTTCCCACTTTTAGAGAATATTTTTTCTACTTACAAAAAAAACTTTTTTTGCTGTGAAAGTGCACCATGTTGTATCAGCAGTGGCCTCAATATCTTGTGTGTTTACCCTGTCTCTGGATTGCATCGTTTTCTCTTGCGCTTGACTTAACCTCACATGGTTTTCCATCATGGCCCTGGCAGCAGCAGACCACACCATCACGTGTCTGTGTGAGCGTGCACCATGATGTTCCCACAGCGACAAATGCGGAAGGGTGCATTTCCCACAGCGTGGCCCTCTCATTAAGAGCCTCATGACTGTATTTCAAAATATATTATTGGCCCCCAAATCAACAGCATTCTCCAAAGCCGAACTGTTCAAAAAAATCTCCAAAGGATACTGTGCATCCCACCGAGAAATGATTGCACAGGAGAAGAACATACAATAAACACATTTGCTTTTTGTGAGATAGTAAATAAGGCTCTAAAAATTAGTCAAACCTTAGGTCCTCACACCAACATTTACATATCTACATGCACTTCTCATTCTACTGTCAGTACCAAGTCAGACTATGTCATACCCACTGTCTAATCTGGCAAGCTCTAAAGGAAGAAAGGGCCCAAACAGGACAGCCTTCATGTGCAAACGTAAACTATCAAGTGTGTTTGATCAGCAGACAAATTCTGCTTGTAATGAAAAATAAAACTTACCACTTCTGCCAAGGCTGAAATGACTTTCCCCAAAGTTGTAAGAGACTTATTAATATTTGCTCCTTCCTAAAATAAACACCAAATATGAATTATGATGAGTAATATTCATATAGAGGATAAAAAATACAGTAATCCGTCATATGCTAGCATATTTGTTTATGATCACAAATTCTAAAACTGTCTTCCATCCTTAATCTTTCTTCCTTTTATTTGTCAACCTGCTGGGACCACACCTGCCCTGCAAGATGTCATTCTCTGAAACTGCAGACGCAGCCTTCTTCTCACATGAAAATGCTGCTGCTGTTAAACACACCTCTACCAAACTCCACGCTTTTCTCACACCTGGATCTTGTGTACCCAATTCCCTTTAAGGTCTTCTTCTTCCACTCAGCCAAATTTTGCCTGTTTTCTCAAAATGTAGTTTATTCCTTACCCTGACCATAATGTCTTCCCTATTTTGTAAATTTTTATGTTAAAAAAAAAAAAAGTAGGTTTTGTGGATCATATGATCTCTCACAACTGTCACTATAGTGCCTAACTAATAATTGCAGCTATGTCTCAATAAAATGTCTTCCATAAAACCAGTGGTGGGCTGGATTTGGCCCATGTTACAGAACACTGAACCCTGACTGACTAGGCAGCTTACTTGGTAAAATAAATACCTTTAATCGAGTTCCTTTGGCACCAGTTGAATCAGCACGTTCACTTCCTGCTAGGTCCACCAAGCTGATTTTACTAACCTGGTAAAGAACGGCAACATAGGCACAATTCAAAAACAAGCAAGAGCAGGGAATTTTGTTAAAAATTACAGTATGAAGAAGACTAAAACTTGGGAGGCTGAGGCAGGAGGCTCACTGAGAGTTCGAGACCAGCCTGGACTACAAAGTAAGCTCAAGGTCAGCCTGAACCGCATAGCGAGACCCTGTCTCAAAAAGACAAAAAAAAAGAAAAAGAAAGACTAAAAATATGAAAAGTTCTTGAATATGGTTCATGAAGACAAAAACAAGATATACCATTGGCAGCTTATAGGACATGTAAAGGGCGGCCAGGTTAGTGGTATAGGTTAGTGGTAGAGCACAAGTCCTGAGTTTAAGACCTAGCATCGAAGGGCAGAGGAGTGTGTAACACTGAGGGCAATTATTTTGGTTCAGAAGAAATTACTTGCTGTGGTCTGGATGTGATTTTGTTCCCCAAAAGTCCACACACTGGAAGCCTGGTCCCCAGCGCAGCTATGTTAAGAAGCAGTGGGAGCTTTGAGGGACGGCCCCGGGGAGGCTCTTAGGGCAGTGGGGGCACAGTTCTCACCGGGCCCCTGCGCTGTTCTCAAGGGAGGGCTGTTATAAAAGGACGAAGTGGCCCCTACACAGCTTCTCTGACTTCCTGTCTGGTGATGTGCTCCCTCTCCCACACCTGCCACTGCCATTGTGATGCCATCTGCCATAAGGTCTCAGCAGAGCCAAGGCGATGCGGGTGCCATGTCCCTGATGTCACCTCTAGAACTATGAGCAAAATAAACTTTGGGGGGCGGGACTGGGGATTGAACCCAATGTCTTCACACTAGGCTATAGCCCTAGCCCTTTTTTAATTTCTTACTTTGAGATAGGCCTGATAAATTGCTAAGTTGGCTCAGCTGGGCTCAATCTTGAGATCCTCATGCCTCAGCTTCCAATGGTACTGGAATTAAAGATGTGTGACACCACACCAAGCTGCCTCTTCTTTTAAAGCTACCCAGATTCAGGTATTTTGTTACATTAACAAAAAAAACTGACTAATTCATAACTTTAGAGTAAATATGACATATTTTACTATGGTGTGTCATAAAAATATCTAAAACTTATCAACCCATTAATATCATATTAAAAATGAAGCTGCACGCAACAGGAACTTTCATATACTGGGAATATAAAAATACACGATCAGTTTGGAAAACAGTAGTTTCTTAAAAAGCTAAATGTCAATCTACCATAAAAATCAATCATCCCATTCCTAGGTATTCCTCAAGAGAAATTTTTAAGTCTCCATACAGAGACTTATACACCAATATTCACAGCAGCTTCATTTATAATATTCAAAGAATATAAATAGTTTAAAAATACATCAACACAGTGCAAGGTCCTGGGTTTGATTTCTGGTTCCAAAAAAAATAAAAATAAAAACTAACTAAATAAATAAATAAATAAAAATCCATCAACAGATGATTTAATAAACTGCACTGTATCTACTCAAAGTATTTGTCAGCAATGGAAAGGGACAAGCTATTAATACATTCAACAGAATAGATGACTCTCACAACTGTGCCAAGCAGAAGAGGCCTAGCAAAATAGTGCATACCGTATGACTCCATGTATATAAATTCTAGAAAACAGAAACTCATCTATAGTCACACAAGGCGGATCAGGAATTGCCTGGGATCGGGAGGAAGAAAGGACAGAGACACGCTGCAAAGGGGTACAAAGAAACTCTTGCAGTCACAGAAGTTCTCATGAGCTGGACTCTGGAACTAGTTTTTTTTTGTTTTTTTTTTTTTTTTTGTTTTTTTTTTTTCCGGTACCAGGAACCGAACTCACGACCTTGCGCTTGCCAGAGCAGGCGCTTTTGCCGCTGAGCTAAATCCCCAGCCCCTTGGAACTAGTTTCACAGTATAAACAAATGTCTGTCAAAACTGATCAAATTTTACATTTTAAATATGTATACTACAGTTAACTGTATACCTGAAAGTTGCTTCAGAGAAGTTAAGACAAAAGTATTCAAAGTGGATTATCAAAAGAGCCATTGGACTGAGGGGGTAGCTCAGGGATAGAATGTTTACCCACAGGCCCTGGGTTCAATCCCCAACACAATCCCACTCCCGTTCACCAAAAAAAGCAAGCATGCTACCAAGAAAGCTATGGTTTGGGGACTGACATCATTAATTTTACAGATCTGATATTACGGGGCAAGGAAAAAAATGATTTCACACAAAGTGTTCTTTGGTGGCAGTCAGCAATCAATAGCAGCAATATTGCTGCCTCTGGCAAAGCAAGTTACCTGATCATCTACGTGAAAGAGTGTATTTTTTAAAATAATTTTAAATAAAACAGTCACCAAGGAAAAGATGATGCTATTTTTTAGTGACAATGACTGTCATAAAGTATTCATTTTATAAAGAGAAGGATCCTATATAGCTGCCAGGACAACAAATTTAAGTTCAGATTTAAGAAGTTCACATGGCACTTCAAAATGTAGGCCAAGTAGAACTCAACATAAATTTTTTATTATTAACAATAACCAAGTTAACATTCACCGGGTAGCTACTCTATGCCAGACACTACCATATGCGCTTTACCTATATTTACCCGTTTACCTGTAACACCCCACAAAGGTGTTACAGAAATTGAGGCAAAAAGCGGTTACATAATTTGCCCAAAGTAAGACAGCTGAAAAATAGCAGAGTCAGGATTCAAAGCAAGCAGTCTGATTCCAAAGTCTACAATAATTAACTACTACACAAAACGAGAAATTAACAAGCACAGGTCTTTGAAGAACACCGGAACTGTCATGAAGTTATTTATTTCCAAGAAAAAAAACACACTCTGCCTGCCTAATCACTCACGTGAACATTCAGACCCACAGTAACACCATCAGCTAACCTTACTGTGGCCCACACCAGAAGAGAATGAAGGGTCTTATCCCCCACACCACTGCTTAGCTGTCCTGCATAGAGTTTATGAGACCCAAAGCTATTTTTCAAGAAGACTGTTTTTCTGAACTCTTTTTTCTATCTTGTGATTTTATTTAAGCACCCGAACTGAGGCTGAAGGTATAGCTCAGTGGTAAAGCACTGACCAGCACACCTAAGTCCCTGAGTTCGATCCCCACCACTATTAAGCAACTCTCCTCCCTTTGAAAAAAGGTAGAGTAGTAAAAGGACTTCTCGGAATTCCCGCCTTCACAACACCAGCCCAGACTGAGGTTCTCCTACCTTCTCAGTGGAAAGGTTGGTCTCCGAGTCATGTTTCTTCTGCGTGAAAACAATAGTGAACACAGCGTGGGAACGGCTACTTGTTTCATTCATGTTTGTAGCTGCCACTGTCCTATATAAACAGAAAGGCGACGCATGACAATGGAATTCTTACACGAGAGCTAAAATGGGCAGCAGGCTCCACATTACAAGCAGAACAAGCACAAGCAACAGCTTTAAACTTATGCACAGACTGTGAGACACACAATAGCTCCCAACGCTGTCTGATGTGTGAGCCCATCAAGTTATCCTCCAGCTCCAAAGGGACCTCGCTGGAATCGTTCCTCACACTCCAGCTATCCCTTTGGAAGCCACTGGAGCATTCAATTTTTATTCTTTATTAGGTGCTCATTTATTCCAGGATCAATTACTACCACAGACTCATGACTGACATGTTACCATGACTTGATAAACCCTAAGAGTAAAACTTAAAAGTTCTGGCCTGTTTCAGCAGTGCACTGTTTTCGTAAGAAAGACACCTAATATGTTGAAGCCTACACCTCTCCAGCACAGACGCAGGATCATCGGAGTCCACAGTGAAAGCAACAGTCACAGCTACAAATGCGGCCTCAATCCCTCAAGGGGGGACGAAGGGCTTAAAATGAGCCGAAGACCTCAGTCACTGACCTGTTTCTTACCATACCTGGCTTTGTTCCCAGCATCCATGAGGTCAGCAATGTCTGTGTAAGAGGTGACCGCCAACTTCGACAGGTCCTCCACGTAGGGTCCAAGAAGTGGGTGTTCTCGTACACGCAAGTTACCCTTGTTTTTTGGGTTCAGCAAATCTCGCACTCTCTCACAGTAAATTTCCATGTAGCTCACCTACAGACATGTTATTAAAGTGAATTAGAGGACTCAGAAAGAAATCATACGCAGTAAAAGGGTTTCTAAAAAGCCTCCATAGTGCTGGGCACAGAGGTGCACGCCTTTAATCCTAGCACTCTCGTGGGCTGAAGCAGGAGGATCGGGAGTCTGAAACCAGCCTGGAGTAGACCATAACCCTGTTACCAATAAAAGCTAACAAAAAATACCTAAAAAATTTATTAAAAGGTCTACGATGAGTGATCAGCAAGCTTTATGAAGCAAAATGCCGTAGTCCTAGGCCCACTTACTCTATTAACAGTACACACAGATCTCACATCACACAGGGCAGAACCAGCCTTCTCAGCTGCTTAGGAAAAAAGGAGGTAAACAGGCTGTCTCTGGCACAAAGTGGCTGCTCCTTGTATTTGGAAGAAAGGATTTTTTTATTATTAATTAAGTCTGTTGGTGCATTTTAGGTACACATAGTGATCACAATGATCATGGAGAATCTATACCTGTACATGATACACCTTGATTCTTTTTTTCCCACTACCCTACCCTCTCTTCAACTCCTCTTCCCTTTCTTATTTACAAAAGCTGTTTCCATTTTTTCTTTCTAGAAAAGATTTTTTAGAAGCAATACTAGCTATCAATAGTTTTTTATGAATAGTATTAATCAGTAATTGAGGTTTAAAGTTGTGTTATGCCAAGCACTTGGAAATAAGATTTCCATCAGGCCGGGCATGGTGGTGCATCACTGTAATCCCAGCACTCAGGAGGCTGAGGCAGGAGGATCACTGCAAGTTCGAGGCCAGCCTGGGTTACAAAGTGAGTTCAAGGCCAGCCTGAACTGCATAGTGAGATCGTCTCAAAAACACACACACACAACCCATCAGAGTTAAATTCGAAGAACAATATCAGCATTCCAGCACAGACAAAAGAGACCAGTAACTCTAATTTTTTATACTGATCGTACTGTTACTAACTACAGACAATGTCTGCACCAGAAGCGGTGAGCGCAGCCAGCCCCAGTGGCCTGAAGACTCAGACAATTACTGCACAAACTGCTCCAGCAGTGGCACAAGGTGACCCCTCTTCACTCAAGAGTCTGCCTTTGACACTGGTGTAGTCTTATGAATAAAACCCCAATCGCACAGGAACTATCACAAACAGTCAAAAACTGGGATCTCACCTTCTTAAAAAAACTTTTGCCGGCCAGGTGTGGTGGCGCATACACGTAATTTCAGCACCCAAAAGGCTGAGGCAGGAGGACTGCCACAAGTTTGAGGCCAGCCTCAGCTAAATAGTGAGTTTGAGGGCAGCCTGAACTATACAGCAAAACCCTATCTCAAAACAAAACAAAACAAAACAAAACCTTTAGCACAGCAAGAGAAACCACCAACAGAGTGAAGAGACAACCCACAATGTGGGAAAAAAGGTTTGCCAGCTCTTCCTCAGACAAAGGATTACTATTGAGAATGTACAAAGAACTCAAAAAAAGCCAGACCTTCCAAATTTAACTCCCCCCAAAAAATCCCCCAAAGAACAAATTTAAAGCCCAATGCAAAATGGGCATCTGAGAAGAATACACACTTTGCATATGAAGAAATAACAAACAGCAAATAAATATATGAAAAAATGTTCACATCATTGATCATTCAAGGGATACAAATTAAAACAATACTGAGATTCCATCTCACCCCAGGAATAATTGCTATTATCAAGAAATCCACCAATAGCAAATGCTGGCAGGGCTGTGGGGAAAAAGGAGCCTTCTCCACTGTTGGTGGGAGTGAAGACCGGTGCAACCACTGTGGAGATCAGTGCACAGATTCCTCAAAAAGCTAGGATTGGGGGGTTGGGGATTTAGCTCGTGGTACAGCGCCTGCCTGGCAAGAGCAAGGTCATGAGTTTGATTCCTGGTACTGGAAGAAAAACAAAAAACAAAAAACAAAAAGCTAGGATTGGAGGTCCCATTTGACCCAGTCACTCCCTTTCTGGGTATCTTCCCAGAAGAATTAAAAACACTGTACCACAGCAATATATGTGTGCCCACGTTTACAACAACACAGTTTGTAAAAAAGCTAGATCTTGGAAACAACCTAAATGCCCATCAACCAAGGAATGGGTAAAAAGGATGCGGTCTTTTTATGCAGTGGAGTACTACTCAGCCATAAAGAAGGATAAGCTGGAGACTTCTATAGGTAAGGATGCAACTCGAGACCATATTCATAAGTGAAATAAACCAGACACACACGTGTAAACACTGGATTGTCTCCCTACTGTGAGAAGCTGAAAGAATACCTAAGATTCAAAATGTAAAACAGATATTGTAAAATGGGAAGAAACTGCTCAAAAGAAAAGAGAGGGCCAGGGATATAGCTCAGCGGCACAAGTGCCTGCCTGGCAGATGCAAGGTTCTGAGTTCAATGCCCAGTACCCAAAAAAAAGCGGGGGAGAAACTGGGATGGGGGAAAGGAGAAAAGAAGGAAAGTAAAAGCAAATGTGTGTGTATATATATATATATATATACACACACACAAGATAGTTAAGATAGTTATACTAGTAATTTCTCTTAGTTCACTGAAAAGAAAGGTGTGTGCTAATATTGTTTAGACAATTAAATGCTGGTATCTTCTACTGAGTAATTTAAAGAAAACAATACACGGTGTATTACCACTGTTAGCCCATTATCTTGTTTTGAAATTTTTTCTCCTCTTTAAAATAAAAAAAGAGCCTGCCTTTGAAGGATGGTTTTGTTCTGATGTATCGTAAAACCAGACTTGCAGGTACACAGGGGTTGGAACTGGGGTACACTCACTACAGGAGGCCACATTATGATGCTTTCTGTGAATCAGATCCTTCCGCATCACTGAGCTATTCAGGCTACAATGTCAACTTGTAGTTGAACCCTCTTACTCTCTTACTTGTGTGAAAAGGAACAAATTTTCCAGGAAGTGTGTGTGTGGGGGTGTGCACACACATACACACGCATGTCTCTGGGGTATTTAGGATTGTACAAGTTTAAATAGACAAGAATAATTGGAAGTATTACCTTACTTTTTAGGGTGAGTTGCTCCCAGAGACAGTATTTGTTGTCCTGTTTTATTCTCAATGGATCAATTACTTAGCTTTCAGGGTTTTTAATTATTTAAAAAATTAAAAGTTTTGATTTTTGCACTAAAGGTTTTGATTTTTTAAAAACAGTATCAAAACATAGAGACTGATCAAAAGAAAATGGAAATGGAGACAAAGGTCCAGTTCAGAAACTCGGAAAATGTGAATCTAGAAGGAAAACTGCAGGACTTTACACTGTGGCAAGTACAAGGTCTTCAGTTCAATTTCTGGTACCAAAAAAAAATTTTAAATAAGAGAAATTATACCTCATCAAATTAGCAAAGCTTGAAAAATAAAAATACTACATGTTGGAAAGGGCACAATGGGTGCTTATACCTCCTGGGGGAGTTAAGACCTAGTTACAACCTCTCTACAAGGCCACTTGGGAATCCAGATGTGTCATTTAACAATCAAAATACACACACAAATAATACCTGAAAACAGAATTATGATCAGAAACTTACATCTAATATTATACATTATAACAAAAATTGAGAAGAGTCTAAAAGTAGAAAATCGAGGGACTGGTAAGCAATCTACAGCAGTTATTAAAGGGAGCCACGGCACTGGTGCTGGAGGACAGCAGAACAGAGGCCCTGGGTTCAGGCCGAGCTGGTTACTCACCTCCACAGAGTAAGACATCTCTTCATTACAGTTGTCATTGATCTTCTCAAAGAGCTCTTCACACAGCTAGGAAGCAGAGTAACAGCACAAAAGCCCCAATCAGAGAAGCATTACGTTATCCCCAAGTGCTGCAGGAACAGGTAAGACCCGGTTCTCTTTCTCCCTCTAGATAGGCATGTCATAACCTCAAGGTATGATTACTGCCCTGGATGAAATTTAAGAACTGTGAATACACTCTTCCTGCTTAAGCTCTACTCTCCCTCAATAACAGGGCCCCCACACTGTTTCTTCAGGAAGAAAGCCACATTCAGAGAAAGTGGGAAATGCGCCTCTTCCAGTGTTATCACAGGCACACTGAACCCGTGTGAATTCTATTCTTCATACTATAGTTGAGTAACTGGGACCCTGCTGTCAGCACTACCTTGACAGTGCACCTATTATGAAATGGATTTGCACACGTTACTGAAGTAACACACAATTTATTCTTTAGTCAGCTACTGTATATATTAAAAACATACGGCCGGGTGTGGTGGTGCACATCTGTAATCCCAGCACTCAGGAGGCTGAGGCAGGAGGATCGTTGCAAGTTCGAGACCAGCCTGGGCTACAAAGAGAGCTCAAGGCCAGCCTGAACTGCATGGTAAGACCCTGTCTCAAAAAATAAAAAATAAAATTAAAAAAAAAATAAAAACATACACATATTAAGAGAACTTATACTATGTGGAAGAGATAAGTGAAGGTACATTCAGTAATTCTGATCGTACAAAACTTTCTTTTTATCATTATCTCACAACTCCTACCCTTGTGTGAAATGCTATTCTACTACATGGTTGACATTTCAACAAAAAACAATTTTTCTAGGTTAGGAAAATTACAAATTTCATCCTCTCTATCCCTTGAATTTCTCACTTACAATATGTGACATTTTAATAAAAATAGTAAAAATTCTATGAAGTTTTTGTTCACTATTCCTTTCATATTAAGGCACTCCTTGTTATGATGATCATACATTAAGGCAATATACATTCTGAAAATGAATTATGTGTGATTCTCAAAATCCAAATGGAATTTAAAATTTATTACAACTGGCAATTTCTAAATAATAATTTTTTTAAAAATTGCTTTTGCATTAAAATGAAGTACTCTAAGATTCTATCAGAAAAGATGTACATATATAATTATACAAGAACTCCAATAAAAGCTGCACATAGTAGTGCATGCTTACAATCCCAGCACCAAGGAAACTGAGGCGGGACAATCTCCATGAGTTCAAGGCCAGCCTGGGCTATACAATGAGTTCAAGGCCAGCCTGAATTACATAGTGAGACCCTTTCTTTTATATTTTTGGTACTGGAAATCTAACTCAGGACCTTGTGCTTCCCAGGCAGGCACTGTGCCACTGAGCTACATCCCCAGCCCTGTAAGACCCTTTCTCAAGAAACAAAAACAAGAAGAACTCTAATAATAAAAGAAAGGAAAAGCTGGCTGGGTGTGGTGGCTCCTGTCTATAATCCCACCACTCGGGAGGCTGAGGCAGGAGGATAGCTGCGAGTCTGAGGCTAGCCTGGGCTACATGTGAGTCCAAGGCCAGCCTGAACTATATACTACACAGTGTGACCCTGTCACAAAGAAGGAAAGAAAGAAGGAAGGAAGGAAGGAAGAGAGGAAAGGAGAAAGGAAAGAAGAAAGGGGGGAAGGGGGAAGGGAAAGCTAAATGTAATAAAACATTTAGCTTAAGCATAACTTGCTATACGTAATTATTCTATTGCTAAAGAAGTATTATACAATGGCAAAAGCAAAGTCATTGACCTCGTCTGGATCATGGCACTCTCACTTAATTGAGCAATTGATATGACCTCCCTGTGCCTCAGTTTTCTTGTCTGCAAAATGGAGGTAAAAGCAGGGTGCGGTGGTACATGCCTCAAATCCCAACACTTGGGAGGCTGAGGTAGGAGGATTTCTGAGATTCTGAGGCTAGTGTGGGCTACACAGTGAGTTCAAGGCCAGCCTGGACTACACAGTGATGCTCTACCTCAAAAAAACAAAAATAAAACAAACAACCCCTAAAAAAACATGAAAAAAGGAGGTACAAATGTACCTACCTATCTCTTACAGTCCCATGAGGAGGATCAGATAAGCGACTACTTGTAAGGCACTTATACCCATGCTTGACAAACAGCAAAGACGTGTGTTCTCCAATTACTATACTAATTACTGCTACTACTACATACAAGGAAGGACAATTCCTAAGTACAAGTCTTAACACAGATTTTAGTGTACTAGTACTTTTACTCTAAAAATTGCCTCACTTTTATTAATAATTAAATACTTCATTTATTGTTGAATTTAAAATTACAGTCCAGTAATACACAAGAGAAAAAGTAGCCATCTTATTCATCTTATTCTTAGAATATAGAAATGGTGGCATTAGTCATGCCGCAAAAGAACACTTTAAAATTAACCCCATGCCTAGCCCATATAAGGCCCTGGGTTCAATTCTCATCACTGAAAAACTCTTAAATTAACCCCAAATATCATTAATAAAAGCAAACTACAGCCTTGTTATTTAAAAAGTTGCCTCTAAATACTTTCTCCTCTTCCAGACAACGGAAGATGAAAAGATATTCAAATTGTTCTTTAAAAAAAATCAAAAGTTTAAAGTGATAATATTAAATTAATAAGATAAAACTAAAGCTTGTCTGAATAAGGCCACCAAAAACAAGAAAGTCAGGTGTGGTGGCACACGCCCATAATCCCAGTACTGGAGAGGCTGGGGCAGGAGGACTGGTGACACAGTGAGCTCCAGACTACACAGTAAGACTCTGTCTCAAAAACCAAAACAAAACAAAACAAAAAAAGCTGTGTGTGGGGGGGGGAAAGCCAGATAGGCATGGGGACATGCACCTGTAATGCCAACCAAATGGGAAGCTGAAGCAGGAGGACTGTGAGTTCAAAACCAACCTGGTAAAGACCAAGATCTTGCCTCATTTTTTAAAAAATAAAATTCACATTCTCTAGAGGAACTGGAAAGAATCAGATCAATATTCACTGGGTGTCCCAGGACTCAGAACAAGCTTTAAGAAGTTGGTAACAGGGCTGAGATGCAGTTCTGGAGTAGAGCACACACTTGGCATGCCTGAGATCTTGGTTTGGGGGTGGAGGGAGTTGTGCCTCTTGTCAAAGGATAAACTAATATGACCTGACGGTAGAGCAAAATCTTCATGAAACATTCATTCGTCCACCTTTAAAGACAGGCATGTGAGGCTGGGCATGGAGGCGCACACACCTGTAGTCACAACAGTCAGGAGGCTGAGGCAGGAGGATCACTGTGAGTTTGAAGCCAGCCTGGGCTACATATAAGACCCGTCTCAAAAGAAAGAAAGAAGAAAAAAGAAAGAAGAAAGAAGAAAGAGAGAAAGAAAGAAAAAAAAAGACAGGCATATGTACATTCAATCTCTTCCACATCACCTCAGCTCCTCTGAGGGAAAGGGACAGGGGTCACCTCTGTGCCTTGCACATCACACTGCCCAAATACATTTGCCAAATAAAAATACTTGGGGTAGCAAGTTAAGGCAAAGGGCACTTTTTACCTGTGGAATGATGCCAGCCTGGCTTTCTTCCTGTTTACCCATCATTGTGTAAGATTTCCCAGCACCAGTCTGCCCATAGGCAAAAATACAGACGTTATAGCCCTCAAAGGCGTGTAAGAGCATTTCCTTCCCAATGTCATTGTACACACGGTTTTGAGATGCAAAGCAAGGATCTTCAGGCTGTAGAGGTTAAGAGAAAAAATAAAGGGCATTTTATTCATATTCTGCCTATACTTATGTGATTACTTCCATAATAAAGAAAAGTGTTTCAAACCAGAAAAGTTACCTAAAATATACTGTACATTTTTAAAGTATCTCTTACACAGATTTTTTTCATTACACACACGCTGCCCAGGGGTGAGTGCACACGCGCACACGCAGTGAGTTATCTATACAAAAAAACAGCTCCGTAAAGCTACCTGGCATGGCGTTTCACTTTGTACACCCTTCCAGTACCGCTCTTCTAGCCCTAAGGAGCTCCAACAAGAGCACCCTTCCCTCTCTCTCCCTGAATATTCCATCCTGCCACAGACCTTCCCCTGGCACTCAGGCTTTGTTGCCAGGTTAATACACGCCTTACTTCTCCGCATAAAACAGGAAAAATGAAATTGAAACGTGTGGCAGACTGGACGGTGCAGAGCCAAGGTCTAGGTTAGAATCTCCGCCAGAGGTCAGTGAGCCCGGGGCTCTGCGCTGAGGTGGTGCACCGTGGGGCAGCTGTGCTCCTCCTCTTCCTGGGTGCTGGCGAGGTCCCGCTTACCCTCGGGACTGGTAGGCTCTCCCAGAAAGTTCAAAGCCAACCTTCTCCTACTACAATTAAAACAATTAACTGTGGTCATTCCAACCTTCCTAGCCATTCTCTCAAATTTTAACTTAAAATTAAAAATACACTGAACAGTTTTTTAAATTTGGTATTCCCTAAAATCTATAAATACAGCAATGAGAATCCTAAGATATTTCTAAATAAAACCTCAAGAGAGTCTAATGAGACTAAATTAGGTTTAGTATAGATTTAGTTTAATGAAGATCAGTTTTATATGTGTGTTGTATATAAACTTTCCATCAACCAAAATATTTTATTAAGAACATTTTATTCTGGCCAGGTGTGGTGGTACACGATGGTAATTCCAGCACTTGGGAGGCTGAGGCAAGAGGATTGCGGTAAATTCAAGGCCAGCCTGGGCTACACAGTGAGACCCTGTCTCAAAACAACAACAACAACAACAAAAGATACTTTATTCTTCAGACAGCACTCACTGTATCAAAAAGTAAACTCATGCTAGACCACACTTACAGAGCAACCACAGGGCCTGTTCAGGCGAGAGGACAGACACGCGGGCAAACAGCGAGGGACAGCAGAGCAGGAGACTCACCGAGGTGTGAGACCAGTAGGAGTAGTCAAAGCTGAAAGACTTTGGTGCTTCCTTTGGGTTCTTTGGGTTAACAATACCTAGAGAACGAAAATGTTTAATTCTGTTAAATCCGTCAGCTGCAAGTTATTTCATGCAACACGGTGCCATATTGCACACTCAAGACATCCAATCAGTATATTCATACCAGAGTTTCAATAAAATAATCAAAAACAGAAGTACCACATTTTTAAGAGGAAATTTACAGAGGGAACTTGAAAAAGCAGACCAACAACATTCACTGTGTGCTTCCAGTATTGAAAACAGAGCCTGGTAGACAGCAAATTCTCAGTAAATATTCTGCAACTGAGAAGTGATCTGCCCTAGGTATGTTAGCAGTCAAAATCTGGAAATGGACCATGTTACTATTTCAAGGCAAGTCCTAAGACTTGAAATATTTCAACACATCCAGTACTGCATTAATCCAACCACAACTGGAAACAAATTCTTTCTACAGATCTTGCTGTCTACTTCACAAAAGCATGAGGTAATTAAATATTCACTGCAGTCTTATTTCTGAAATCCACAGCTGACCATAACAAACACATGTTATTTCACACACGTGTGGGTATGTGTGTGTGTTCATACAGTGGAATCACAGACTACCAAATCATCTGTAGAACATTACAAATAGCAGAGTGACTTTTTGACTGAAGAGCACGAAGTCCCACTGCCCATAATAAAAGCGATTTCTCATGTAATCACTCCAGCCACACTACACTTCAGGGGGCTACTGTGAATGTGAAAGCTGAATCTCCTGCTTTCTTTCTCACACAAAGCTTTAGCTCCTCATATTTCATATGGAACAAAATCTTTGTAACATGTGGTCATGAAATCTCAAAGAGTGGACACCTAAACCAATCCACTTCTCTAAGCAGGGCCACATCCTAGGCGATCAGTGAGATCAGGATTAAAAAATAAATCTGTCCCAGGCAGCTGCTGCTCAGGACACAAATAGCAACAGTTGCTATGGTGCTTACTTCTCCGGCTGGATTCCACTGGGTAAGGCCACACACGCTTATGTTCCAACCTCAAATGCTGACAAGAGTATTAATAAGGCTCACACTGCACACAAGCATGTGACAAGAGGACACAGTTCTAGAAAGAACATCTCCAACACACAAATGGTATCTAAGCAAAGAAGTGCACTTCTAAGTAAAAGGTACAACACCCAAGATTTAAACAACAGCAATACTGTGTTCAAGCAGCAGAGACCCTGAGCCTTAAGTGCTTTCTGTTTATGAATCTTTTTTACCCCTCCCAGCCACACACGGGGCAGACGTTTTCCTTGCCCCACTCACAGATGAAGAGAAGCTAAGTCACTATGGTTACAGACCTAGCAGGCAGACACAGGACTTGCAGCAGGAGTGTTAGACTCCAGTGCACACTCTGAAGCCAAGACATCATCATCTAGGTGTTTACTGTCCATACCACTGGTTGCCAAGGCAGAGGATACAGTATTTTTTATGCGTATGTACGTGCATGTGTTTGTGTATACGGTTACCATCCTAAAATTAAACCACAAAGATTGTTTAAAACTCTTTATAGTCAAGGCGTGGTAGTACATTGCTCTAATCTCAACCCTCAGGAAGCTGAGGCAGTAAGACCTCAAGTTGGAGGTCTGTTTAGCTACACAGAAAATTTGAGGCTAGCTTGCATTAGATAGCAAGACACATGTTACCTTGAATATATGAAGTATTTCCCAATAAAAAAAAATTTGAAAGCCCTAGAACTTGCAAATGAAGATTCTTCTGGGAATAAAATGTTGATGACAGCACTACTTATCAGAACCATATAAAGACTGAACGAACACACTCCAACCATAGTGGTGCACCTTTGTAACTGCAGTACTTGGGAGGCTGAGGCAGGAGGATCACTGTGAGCTCAAGGCCAGCCTGGGCTACATAGTAAGTTGAAGGCCAGCCTAAACTACATAGCAAAACACTGTCTCAAAAAGACAAAAAATAAAATAAGTAAAAGTAAACAAATACTGAATATACCACTCTTACTTTCCATGGACAATGAGTTATTGTTTTCAAATATGAATATGCCAAGGGATTTTTTTTTCTGCATTAATAATGCTTGAGTTCCAACTCACTACCTTTAACCCGATTAAGAAATAATAAAAGAAAAGAAACAGCATGTCATAGAATATAACACTTGGCAAAAACGACCAGTATAAGTACCTGTGGCCTGACACAGCTTTTAAATATTCTATATATATGAGGAACAATGAACAATACTAATTTCAGTGTTTTCTGTGACCTTGCATACTACTGTACTTCTGAGTGCTCTTTAAACTTGAGGTGATATCTAGATCAGTGATGGCAAACATTTTAGAGACCAAGTGCCAAACTGTAACCCAAAACCCACTTCTTTATCGTACAGTGCCCACACTCCAACTGAACCTGAAGGCTGCAGTTTTAGCTTAGAAAAGACAACTCTACACTAACCTCTCTTGTCTTAGAAGAAAAACACAGTAACACGTGCCATTGGTCTGCCACCACTGACCTAGGCTTTACAGAATTAAATAAGTAAAGCACTACATAAATGTTGAATTTTTTAAAATAGTATTTTTCATCTTATCTTAAACTTTCTCAATACTTGCTGGTATGAAAATGATGTTTCATGGTCTTTAAACCAAAGTAAGAAAATTTTTGTTGGCAAATTTAAAAAGTAAACAACAGTGTAAAATAAGAATGCTGAGACCCTGTCTCAAAAAGACAAAAAGACAAAAAACAACAAAAGTCAGGCATGGTGGCGCACACCTATAATCCCAGCACTCGGGAGGCTGAGGCAGGAGGATCATTTCGAGTTTGAGATCAGCCTGGGCTACAAAGCAAGCTCAAGGCCAGCCTTAACTGTATAGTGAGACCCTGTCTCAAAAAGGAGAAAGAGGGGCGGGAGGGAGGGAAGGAGAGAGGGAGGCAGGGAGGAAGAAAGGAAGGAAGGTAGGTAAATAGTTAGGTTACTTCTTGGCAAGAGTCACAGTAAAACATTCACATCCTTTGGTAGCTGTGCATGAGATCTCTGCTTTTCCAACTGCCTCACGAATCCCTTAAGTGCAAAGAGCACATTCTACGGATGCTCTACATGGCCGGCACTGAGCTGGCACACGGACAAATGCCCTCCGCGCAGAGTACAATTTAAATCTGGCTGAACACTGTACCATTTTCCAGAGAACAAAAGGAACAATCAGAACAGTGTCTGTGCAATACAAACATAAAATACCAGGAGATTTTATCAACTTTCCAGTAAGAATAGAGAAAAAACAGAATTACTGAAAGCCTGGGTAAAAATGCAGTGGGGTTTAGGGAGGGGGTTGGAAGCTCAGCACTGGGGATTGAACCCAGGGCCTTCATACTGAGCTAAATCTCCAGCCTTTTATTTTTTTAAATGTTGAGTCAGGGTCTCACAAAATCATTAAATTGGCCAGGCGAGGCTTGAACTTGTAATCCTCTTACCTCAGCCTCCCAGAATGCTGAAATTATACCCATGCCTAGCTTAAGCAACGGTTCTTGTATCAAAGACAACTGAGCTTAAAACAGAGGGTATGGCTTGTAATTTATTTCTCAGAAAACATGCACGTTAGGATAGGGTTATGGTAATCAACAAATAGTCAACACACAAGCCCTATTTTCCCAAGGTAAAAGCTGTTGCAAATATAGCACCCGTTCCCAGGGTGGAGTGCTGCCAGAAAGCAGGCTCTGTGTAGGACACATCACCATTTGTCCACAAGAAATGGATTCCAGTCATATTTTTTTGAGAGCTGGAGTCAAAACATTACTCTCTTTTAAGCACTGTAGAGTGTTTGTGCTGTTTCTCGCCTATAAAAGCACCTTCTCATTGTACTTTTCAAGGCCCCTGTTACACCTGCATCTGAGGTTTCCTCTCTGACTGAGGTGTCCCTGGACAGGAGGCACAGTACACTCTGGGCCTGGACCCCACGACTGCCTTTTCACATATGCTCTTGGAGTTGCCCGAACTTCCTTCTTGTACCCTCCACGGCTCATCTGTCCTTCAGCTTCCTTACAAGCGTTTCCAGCATCCCAGGGCTCCTGGTTACGAAACCTGTACACCACAGCCTCTCCCCTCTGGACACCTGCAGTGATGCCCTAACCAGAGGACGGAGGACCTGTGCACACAGGAAACACCAGCTGCTACAGAAGGCTTAGGGACTTCTGCTTGCCCTCTGTGTAACAATGGTTCCTGGACGACTGCATCTAGCTGAGTTCTGGCATGTGTGTTTTCAGAGGTGGAAAGAGAGAAGAGTCCACTCCTTTAGCGAAAGTGTTTTGTCTCTTGATTCAAGATTGAACATTCTCTTACTATTTGATCCAACATTTAATTATTAAAAAGTAAGCTGACCTTTAAAAAACTGACATTTTTAAGGATTTTACCAATGGAGCAAGTAGAATGCTGCAGAGGCTTTATTCTGACCCCACCCTAGGTGTGTAATACTAATGTAGGTCTAGCTATAACTTGGGCACACAGTAAACACTGCAACCCTCAGTTTTCTTATGTGTAAAATGGGTGCACTAAGAGTAGGGCCTAACTTTACAGAACTGTTGTGAGGTTTAATGGCTAAGCCATGTCAAGTACTACCTCAGGGTCTGCCACAAGGAAAATGTTCAGAATACATTACTGAACAAATGTTCTGAGACTGTTCCCTGTTCAAGATCTGGAAGATATCTAGTGAAAACAAGTCTCCGCCCTCAGGGAGTTTACATTCTAGTGAGAAAGTCAGATAATTAACTATTAGAAATAGTACAATGTGTGGGGGGAGGGGGTAAAGCAGGGTCAGGATATAAAAGATGACTATCAGGACTTAACAGATGATTTGGGCAGGGACCTGAATGAAATTTAAGGAACAGCAAGACCCCGAGTAGCCAAAGGGTAAGTGAGGAGATGAACTCAGATAACTGGCCAGGGGATACATCCACTGGGGCCCTGTGTCTGAGGAGAAGACTTTTAGTTTTATTCTAAAAATGATAAGCCAACAAAATATCTTAGGTTGAGGACAGGCTTAATCTGATTTATA